AATATTCTTGGCTCAGTACTCCACTAAAGTTGCTAATCTCCTGATGGGCTCATCAGTACAAGTTCTAATGACTTTGATACATCTTTCTCTAGCAAAGATTCTAGTTTCATCCATTGATGCATTTCTGTTTGCTCGTGTGTATACAGAATCAGCTAATCCTTACACAGTGTGGCTATATAATGGTTCAATACATTATGGAACTGGTGTACACATACCTTTGCTAATCACTGCATCTCTCTTTACCAGCATTGTAATTGTACCATACGTTGGTCTAGCCTTGTTTGGATGGACATGTTTAAGGTTTTCATACGTTAACAAGTTTCGTCCATTTTTTGATACCATATATGGGCCTTACAAGGATAGCTATCGATACTGGTTTGGACTCCGACTTGTTCTGCTGGTTTTTATAGCCATTTCAACAGCCAGCATGACAGGAGAATTCACTTTTTATCAGTATCTATTACAAGTCATACTTCTCGTTATATTTACCATCTTCCAAGCATATTTGAAACCTTTTAAGGAAACCTGGATCAACATTCTAGACTTATGGTGCATGCTAAATGTATTGGCCCTGGTTTGTATTAACATGTATAAGATATATGGAGGCCTTTATTCTGAGTACATACTTTTTGTTTCACTAATCTCAATTTGTTCAACAATACTCGCAATATTCTTATATCATGTGCTCAAGACATTTCGTTGCTGGCTTGTATCTTGTAAGAAGAAACGGGCTGGTGTTGAAATGCTAATAAACTGCACACCAGAAGTTGAGGAACGTGAAACTCAAAGTAATAATAATCAGTTTCGTGAGCCTTTGCTTGAGTACATGGACAGTGACAAGCTGCAGTAGAATAACAATTAAATATAGTGGATAATGATTGTTTAATATTTTTGTCTTGTCTCAGTAACTAAATTTATTTTATGTGTTTAATAGTGACTTTCTTTACTTTATTTGCTGTGTGATGATTTTGTACTTAGTGACTTTTGTATTTTTTTGAATGGATTGTGTGGATAAGTTATAGTGTCACTGATTGGGTAAGTTGTCCTGCCTTGCTGCTGTGTAGTTTAAAGTTATGATAGGTCTTCCTTTATAATGATGTATAAGTGATTGCAGAGAGTTTTATTAATATGAAAATACCTTTTTCTTATATAGTATGCTTTTGTGTGAATGTATTTATTTTGTGAAGATGTGACACATGTTTATCATAAGATACAGTACAAGAACGGTCCCTTTTGTTGGTTTTCCATTTTATTCTGTTTCTAATGATACTTGATCTACTATTGGTAGTAATAAAGCAATGATACAGCAATAGCAAGTTCTGTAAGTACAAAAGTTCTAAGCAAACTTGACTTATTTTTTGTTTTTAAAGGGTAACTGAAATGATTTTTTGAGGTATTTATTTTATTAGCTTAATATGATTGCCTGAACTTTTTGATGTAGTGTTACAAATAGCAAAAATTTTAAAGAATAATTTTACCTAAAAAATTCAGCAGTCAGTGTGCATGTACAGAAGTCATAGAGTTGCATTAGTTTGTGCATTGATGAGACCAGCAGCGGAAATTACTCTTAAACCTCTCACGCTCAGAAACCTTTAACAAGGAAAATAATGCATACAACATTATTGTAAATAATATTTACTGTTTGATAAATAGCATAATATGATCTCTGGACACAGCGCCCCCATCTTGCCATGCAGGACTCATCCACTTGACCATTGACCAGTGGACACACACTAGGACAAGAACCAGGTAATGGAGGGAATGGTAGATCATTATATGAATAATAACAAGCACCACAATTGGATATAGCACATCCTCCTGGACACCCTTGAGTACTGCCAGGAGGAGATGAGGGTCTGAAAAAGAATATGTGACTGGCAGTCATATGTGATTGTATCTCTTACACAGAACATGTTCCTCCTCTTTTTATTGCACAATATTCTGGAGTACATACTGGATAACAATCTATTTATTAATATAAAAAGTACTGTAAAAATTGACCATTGGCATTAAAATTAATTAGTTCAATGTGCTCACCACTACACTTGTCTTCACAGTCATGCTGAGTCAAAAAATTATTTTCATTAGGGAAGCAACCACCGTATGAAAACTGCTGACATGTCTGACTAGTGCCATTGTAATGGTATCTTGAAATACTAGCAGTACAGGGACCTCTCTCTGGTGCTAATGTACACGGATCTGGTTCTATAAATAAAAGCATGTAACTTCTTCCTTTTGTCCTCTCTCATTCAATTCCTTACTAGGACAGTCTTTAAGTTGTACACAATGATTGTTCATTTCATCAATCACTTGACCCAGAGGGCAGGAGCAGCCAGGCTGTCCTTCACCAGCACACAAAAGGTGAGGATTAGAGCAAGTCTTTGGACAACTAGCCTTTACATCATTATACTCCTGACCAACAATAGGACAATCTACACCATATGAAATTATGAATTAGACACATTGATTCCTCTTCACCTCTACATAATGGACAGTTACAATTATCATAAGTGAGTACTGTACAATTATTAGGAACTGGGTCACACGTTCCTTGACAGGGACACTGCTCTGGATACACACACCTATTGATCGACTCATCCAATACCTACAGTCCATATACATATTAAGATTATACAAATCAAATCACAATACCTGTCCAGCAGGGCATGCACAGCCAGGCACACAGTAGTGTCTACTGCAAACAAAAGGTCTCTGGTAACGAACATCATCACAAGTACGTTGACATGAGGCACCACATTCCTTAAATATCTGACCACCAGATGGACATGTCACTATAAAGTATACAGGCACAATTGCATTATATATACATACTTGTGCCATTCTAAACTATCTTTATTGCAAATCTTATCAATTTATATATTACAAAATACATGTATATCGTAGTGTTTCCCTTACTGCAGAATTCAGTGACATCAACATTGTTCCAGTAATACTGTGCCTTGCATTCCCCACAGACATTCAGCACACATTCAGTTGGTGGTAGGTTAGGGCATGTGCTATGATCACATGGATTGATGAGACACTTCACTGGTGCCTTGTCAGATGGACAATCACCTAAAGCAATCACTAGAAGATAAAAACTAGACATCATTAATAATGACTTACCGCACATCATTGTTATATCATGCCCTGTGCTGTTATAATAATGAGCAGAGCACTCTCCACAATGATTAGGTATACAGAGAGCATTGTCAAAATTAGGACAATGAGTAGTGCGACAAGGATCAGTATAGCAATCAACAGTACTCACTCCAACCTCACAGGTCTGACTACCTATACAATTAACACAATATATAATTAAATAAAGTAGAAACAGACTATTATAATTCTTGTTCCTCACCACATGTTTGAAGACAGCTTCTTAATGTGTTAAAGTTGTTTTTGTTACCTTCACAGCCTCCATATTTTAGCAATTCACACTGACGACTATCAGCATTGAAATGCCATCTACTAATACTAGCATTACAAGAGCCCCCATCAGGAGGAAGAGAACACACATCTACAACAAGAGAAATACATGTACATTGACATTTGTATAATTAATTATAATAAAAATAGTTTGTACTCTGTATATACCACATTGATCAGTGACTTCTTCTACTCCCACGTAATGCTTAACAGTGCAGTTTGAACAAGAGTCAACTTCACAAACTGAGTTATCATGAGCCTCACAAGAAGCTCTCTCACAAAGATCACCACTGCAATTCAAAGCAGTGTTACCTGTTCCACAGCCTGCAACAAAATAAAGAAATAAAATAGTAAATATAATAGTCAGATTGCACTGTGCTAGTCATTATAGCATACCACATGATTGGATGCACTGCTGTAGAGTGATGAACCGGTTAGCATTACCACTGCAACCACCATATAAGAATAGCTCGCAACTACCAGAAGAAGAGTTATAAAACCAACGAGGGAACGCACCACGACATGGGCCACTAAGAGGAGGAAGACTACAAGTATCTGTGGATTAGGAATGTCAATATTATAAAAATAGAGCAATATTTATGTTAACAAAACACTCACCACAAGATGATGGTAGGACACATTCCTCTTTAACCTCATCATATATGGTATCATTAGTACAACCACAGCCTGGTACACAGGTAGATACCGGACATATTGGCTCTGGAATATGACAAGTTGACAGACAAGATGGTGCACATAGAACAGGTTTTAAACCATTGCTACAAGCTATAGACAAGTTAAAATAAGACTACTGTTAATACTAACAACTTACAGCATGTCTCAGTCACTTCTTGATCATTGTAATAGTATCTGCTAGTACAATTGCCACAATAATCAGGAAAACACTGAGCAGTAGGAGCAGATGGACATGTATTAGACTGACAAGGATCATTGGTACAATCCAATAGACTGGACTCATTCTGTGGGCATCCTATAATAAGTATATATATACTATTAAAGCAGAAGTATATTAGATGTGAGGTCAATGTTAATTACTGCTACAAAAACATAATAGTCAATAATTTTTCAAACGCTCCATGCTTAAACTTATACAATCTAGCAAAGAACATCAATATGCGTCAGAAATTGGAATAAAAATATGTGGCCAGTTATAGGGGGATCATTTAGAAGATGTACTGTCAGATAACTGGTTATCATGGTTATCATGGTTATTTGTGTTCTATCCTTTAAAATAGTTTACATTAGAGCAGCTGATCATTGCAAAGAGCTTTCTCTACTTGGTAAAAGCCAGGTTCTCTGTTAATTTTTACATTCATATGACCCAGGTTGCATTACTTATGTTGAACATGGTTCTAAAGACTTTTTCATTACACTTTCTGATGCACATTAATGTCCTTATGCTATGTAGAAAGTTTGAACCAATTCCGACATCAATAATGAGTTTTACAGTATAAGCCAATTTTTTGAAAAATATCCATAGTTTTTTTTTGAAAAATAGCTCAAGAATCAACCTAATTTTTGATTACATTTTTCTAACACATATTTCATTATATGCTGTGTAAAAAGTTTGAGCTGATTTAAACTAATTTTTTTCTGGTTATGACCATTTTAAAACAATTTGCCAAAATTCTAAAATACCCTGTACTAGATCTATAGCCCATGTTTTTTTTTTAATGGTTCCAAAATCACCCAAAATTTTTATTACATTTTATGATGCATATTGATGTCCTTATGCTATGTAGAAAATTTGAGCTGATTCTGATTTTTATTTTTAAAGTTACGGCCATTTTAAGAAAATGTCAAAAATCTAAAAATACCCAAGGCTATAGCCCATCTTTTTTTACAATAATGGTTTTTTTCCAAAAAATAGCCTCAAAATTACCCCAAATTTTTATTACATTTTTTGATACATATTGACGTTCTTATGCTATGTAGAAAATTTGAGCTGATTCTGACTTTTATTTTTTAAGTTACAACCAATTTAAGAAAATGTCAAAAATCTGAAAAATACCCAAGGCTATAGCCCATGGTTTTTTCCAAAAAATGGTTCCAAAATTACTCCAAATTTTTATTAAATTTTCTGATACACATTTATGTCCTTATGCTGTGTAGAAAGTTTGAGCTGATTCCGACTTTAATTTTTTAAGTTACGGCCATTTTAAGAAAGTGCCAAAAATTTGAAAAATACCCAAAGCTATAGCCCATGGTTTTTCCAAAAAATGGCCTCAAAAATTCTCCAAATTTTTATTACATTTTCTGATACATATTGATGTCCTTACGCTGTGTAGAAATTTTGAGGTGATTCCGATCTTAATTTTTCAAGTTACGGCCATTTTAAGAAAACGGCAAAATTCCAAAAAATACCTAAGGCTATATATAGTCCATGGTTTTTTCCAAAAAATGGCCAAAAAATCACTCCAAATTTTTATTAAATTTTCTGATACAGATTGATGTCCTTATGCTGTGTAGAAAGTTTGAGCTGATTCCGACTTCAATTTTTAAAGTTATGGTCGTTTTAAAAAAATGCCAAAAATTTGAAAAATACCCAAGGCTATAGCCCATGGTTTTTCCCAAAAAATGGCTCCATAATCACCCCAAATTTTTATTACATTTTCTGACACATATTGATGTCCTTATGCTGTGCAGAAAGTTTGAGCTGACTTCGACTTCAATTTTTCAAGTTATAGCCATTTTTTTTAAATGCCAAAATTTTGAAAAATACCCAAGGCTATAGCCCATGGTTATATAGCCTATGGTTTTTTTCCAAAAAACGGCTCCAAAATTACCCCAAATTTTTATTACATTTTTTGATAAATATTGATGTTCTTATGCTATGTAGAAAATTTGAGCTGATTCTGACTTTTATTTTTAAGTTACAACAATTTTAAGAAAATGTCAAAAATCTGAAAAATACCCAAGGCTATAGCCCATGGTTTTTTCCAAAAAATGGCCTCAAAATTACCCCAAATTTTTTATTACATTTTCTGATACACATTGATGCCCTTGTGCTTTTAAGCTGATCTCAAATGTCATAAGAATATTTTAGCAAACAGCTCCAAAGGTCTCTTATATTTTACTTGTAGAAGTGGTAACATGGAATTGGTTTCTCTTTTTATTAAATAAGTTTGATTTGGTTCCTGTTCAAGCTAGGAGACATTGATGGTACCAAATTATGCTCAGTCTATTGTTCAGTTTTTGAGGCTTGAATTGCTTAGTCAGAATTAGTTGTTGAATTTGTTAAAGAGCCAGAAAGAACATAGCAATAGTACTAGCAGCTATGAAACACCTTGTTCTTCATTTTTATTTTCTTTAACTACGATACCATGCATAGATAACCACAGTTAACCACAGCAAACCATAGATAACCACAGTTAACCATAGATAACCACAGTTAACATTGATAACTTGAGATAACCAAAGCTAATTACAGGTAACCTAGATAGCCACATGTAGATGATGCAGGTAAATGCCAGCATGAGACAGCCAAACAAACGCAAACAAAGCACAGGGCAAGCCATGTCATTGGTTCTGCACCACTAATGTACATACCCGTTTAACAAGTGGTAACCGGTTATTTATAATTTTTAGTATATACAAACCCTCCTATAACTAGCCATATCTAAAAAATTGGGGGTGGTTTCTGAATCATTAAAAAAGCAAAGGCTATAACATAGTACAAGGTAATTTTTATAAATTGCCATATTAAAAAAATTGCTCATAACTCAGAAAATTTCAGTTGAAATCACCTCAAACTTTGTACCTAGCATAAGAACATCAATAAATGTAGGGTGATTAGCCACTTTTTTGGAAAAAAGCATGGGCTATTCAAAAATTGCCATTATAAAAATACCCATAATCTAAAAAATTCATTTGAAATGAGTTCAAACTTTTTACATAGCAAATGTAATAAAAATCGGGAGTAATTTTGGAGCCATTCTTTAAAAAAAATCATGGGCTATCATTATGATTTGGTTTGTGCATAAAGAGTGATGGCTTACCACAAGTTTGAGAGCACTCATTTAGTGAAGGGAAGTTATTCTCATTTCCATCACAACCACTGTACATAAACGGTTCACACTGCTCCATTGAATTATCGTAATAAAATCTAAGATACTCTCCATTACATGAACCAATAATTTTAGGTTTCTCACATGGATCTATAATTATTTTAAAAAGCAAAATAATTATTTCAAACAAGTACTAGCGAACTAACTTTTTGAACATAAAATGCTGTCACTTTCTGATGTACAAGGAAGACACTCAATTTGACCAGGAGTAGGTTGATAAGTATTACTAGGGCATGGTCTACATGGCATTAGCCCATTTGATGAGTTATGATTGACAGGACATAGCTCTAAAAATACCATAAATTTATAACGTACACAACCACACATATATTCTTTTACCTGTACATTGATCAACAGATATAGCACCAGTTATAAATGTAACATGATTAACAGGACAAGGCTTACACTGTCCGCTTCCAGCCATATCCTGATAAGTATTAAAAGGACAAGGAGAGCAGTGTGGTACTCTCTCAATAATAGTCCTGCTATCAGTCACTCTACTCTCAACAATCACAGCTTGCTCCTGTCCTTTAAGACAATCAGCTAGAGACATAAGAGTAAAAATAGAGTCAAGCATATTAGATCAGGTATAACTATACCCTTGAGCACACACAGTATACTGTTATCAATACATTAATGTATGCATGCCCAACAGGGCCACACCAGTATATTGAATATATGCACATGCTTACAACATAGGAATCTGTTTGAATGAAGTTCTTGACCAGGTGGACACTGTATTTCTGGTATGTCTACACTAAATGAGCTGCGTCTGTATTGATATTCAGAGTCTTCGTATTCCAGTATAAAATCTTCAGAATTGTCCAAAAACCTTTCCAAATCATTTCTTACTCTGTTTAGTTGAAGCCTATAAGCCGTGAGGTTATTCACAATAGTTTCTAAATGAATATTTTGAGGTATAGTTACATTGGGACTGATTAGTTTGAAACTAATGACTATTTCTTCATCTGGTATAACATCTCTCACTCCAATTTCCTCTGATAATACCACATCTCCAAATGAAACCCCTTCTTCAAACTTATTCTTTAAATCTTCTTGTAAACTAATGTCTCTTCCACTCAGCTCAGTATCATTCTGTCTCACCATCAATATTTCTACATTATATACTAGCACTCTTACTGTTACTGATATAAGGCGTAATGTGACAGGATCTGATGAAATGCTACCAAAATCATTATAAGCTTCACACCTGTATTCTCCTTCATCAGACCGTGATGGACTCCTTATTAAGAGTTCATTTGTTTCTTCTCCTATTAGCTCTCTCCATTGTCCTCTAGTAGATGATCTGTGATACCACCTCCAACCAGGAGCTGGTCTTGATGTAGCATTGCATGTAAAGTAAGCTCCATTCTCATCTCCTATGTATGTTATGACTGATGATGGTAGCTGATAATACTCAGGAAGAATGAAAACTTGCACGCTTGAATTTGTTGAACGGGTAGTGCCAACATCATTTGTAATCTCACAACTATAATTACCTTCATCGAATACTTGCATATCATTAAGCACTAATGTGTGACTGTTAGTGTTTGGTATTGCTACTCCATCTTTTCTCCATAGATATGAAACTGGTAGACTGGAGTTACCTCTGCATGTTAGAGTTAGAGCAGTGTTTATTTGTACACTAGTCTCTGCTACTGGATGTACAATCACTTGTGGTAGAGTAGAGCACCAGTAGCCATTATCAACCATAGCCTGTACAAGAGATCTAATAGGAGTTAGTTTGTTCCTAGCTTCAGTGAAATTGGTTAATTCATTGATTGCTAGCTGTAGAAAGAGTTGTGAAGCTACTGGTAGACTCTGTGATAAAAATGCTGTCTCTGATGGTGCAAAAGAAAGTAAATTGCTCAATGAGCCATTCAATACTAATATACAGTCAACCAGTCCTGAGCAGGGTCTGTCAGCTACAGTGCTATTACCTTGAAGTAATATCTCTAAGCCAGACCTCCATTGGGTTAGTAGTGTGGCTTCAAGTGACTCTAAGACAGACTGTGCTTGACTCTGTAGACTCTTGTATGATGATCTAACTGAACTTAACACTTCGTCTTCCACATTACCTAACTCTCGTCTACTTTGTTCTATTTCTTCCAGTGTTATATCAAACAGTTCTTTAAAATTAGTATAATTACCAAGACCAGTCCTATTACTGACTGAAGTTGTGTTAATAGCAACATTGGATGACTCTATTAGTTCAATCAGTGACTCACTTATATTCATTCCACTCATTTCAGCCTCTTCTAGTGTAGTATGCATGTATCGAATAAATTTGTTAATGCTTTTCAATTGAGCACATTGAATTTCAAACTGTTCACGTCCTGGTTGATTTACTTCTGTTTGCCTTCTCCTTCTCCTCCTCTGTGATGCGAAAAGAGAGTCAATTATATCATTTGCAAGAGTTTCTGCTTGCAATGAGAATTGAGTATTAAAATCATACACATAATTTAATTGCTGATTGGCTCTTTGAGGAGTGTCATAGGTTATTACAATTGGGAAAGCTGAAGGATTATTGCTTTCACTGATTGGTACTGAGAATGTTATATTAGTAATAACAAATGCATTATTACCATACTCCTGTGTCAAGTTATATAACTGTAGATCATTTTTTATTTCTTCTAATATCATGTTATGACTCTTCTCTACTGCTTCTTTATATTGAGTGATAGACCTGTAGAGTGATTGTGTTGAGACTAATGTCTCGTTAGCTAATTGCTCATTGCGTTGAGCTTGACTTGACCTAATTTCTAGCAACTCCACTTCAGCTCTTGCTCTATTCCTTTCTCTTAATGGTGCCACCAGTTCACTCCTCCTTATTTCAAGTGCTCTTAATGATGCTTCTCTTTCTCTGTTACATTGAGCATTAGAAGCCACACAAGCAGCATTAGGCCCCCTACCCCCACATGGATCAATATATTCTTCAGTTTCTTCAATTCTTGCATGATATTGACCAGTTATACAAGGAACCTTGCAAGGACCCTGCCTCTCAGCTTCCTTGTAGTTATAAACATGACGAGTTACGTTAACTGGTTTCCTGACACCTGAGCATCTAATGGAATTACAATATGCATCTCCACAAGTGTATTGCACATCATTACAGCATTGTCTTATTTCCCACTCCTTAGCAGATACAAAGTATGGTGCTACTCTAACACTAATGGTGTAATTACAAACTGAATCACAAACTCCTTCAGCTTCATAGTATACATCTCTGTACACAGTCCGTTTTCTTGTAGCATTCTGACACTCCAAAGGACAAATCTGTACATCACAGACATCATTGATAGCATCTTCTGCTTCTCGTATTTCACTTCTGGCCATTGTGACATTTAATTCAGCTAACGTCAAGCGTTCTCTTGATTCTGCAAGATTGTCTTCCACTGTAATCAGTTGAGTCGAGGCATTACTAAATGCCAATCTAGCTTCATTTAGTTGACCGCCTGCTCTTATTAGTCTAGCTATAGCTTCAAGTAATTGTTTATCAGCTTCTCCTTTTCTTGTGTTTGCTTCATTTCCTAATGTAGTTATCTTCTTTATTACATTCCTTTCCATTGTATCAACAAAATATTCATCACCTTTTGGAAACCAGCCATTTACGTTAACTGTCAAATCTTTCCACTGCCTGCTAGTACTGGCTATGCCTTGAATATTGGCAGTGAAAAATTTCTTATTAAATAAGTGAATCATTGAATCACCATAGCTAAGCTCCAGATTTCTTAGTCTGGCTTGTGTCACAAATGTATTATCAAACATTGTCATTTCTAACGAGTGTATCAGGCCTACTTTCTCATTACTGTATTTGTAAAAGCCTAATGACAATGCAGTTTCATCATAACCTGGTAATAACTGAATAAATGCATTCAATCTTAATCGACTAGCATTCAATGAAGAATGAATGACAAGACCAAACTCTGCTGTGGAGAAGAGAGAAGTGAAGTTTTTTGGTTTAATACATAAAGTATCATTAGACATTGGAATATATATTTTGTGAGCTAGACTAGTGAATAATAATGCTCCAAATGATACATCAAGACATTCTGAATAGAAACTCAACCCATTCATATCCTGATTACTGTTTAAACTAAGGAACACATCAACTGGACATTGAGCAGTATCGAAAGGTAGTTCCAGTACACTCAAATAGAAAGCCTGATCTTGTTGTGGAGTATATGCCAATTTGAATGATGCTCCATTTGTTGGAGCCATTGAACAACTTGAACTTGATGATAAGTTTTCTATGAAAATTTATAAAACATTAATATCTACATAAAAAATTTCTGATATACCTTTGTGATATATAGAGATGTTGGTTGAAATTTTCTTCAATTCTAATTTTTCTAAGCTATTGTTTACTCTTGACATCACTGTAAAAGTACAATCTCCAAAAAGTAGTGCTTCATTAGCCTAACAAAACATTATAAAAATTTCAAACAATTTAAGCATAAAAATATACTTTTTCTTTTGTTGTAATATACTTATATTGAGCTAATCCCCTGAAAGTCAATGCAACATTTGCTATTCCATAAGAAAACATTCCTTGAACATTCATGTTCACTAGTGTATCATACTGAAAATGGATTCCAGAATGTTGTTGCATGTACTGGTAGCCATTCCAAAGCTTAGTTTGTAATACTGATTGCTGAAGTGTTTTACTTAAAGAGACACTTTTAAAGTCAAATGTCCATCCCTTCTTGATATAATTTGAAATAAAGGAAATTTTTTTGATGCCATCTTGAGCTGAAGGAGGTAGTCCAATGTAGACTGGTGACCTTTGACCTGAACAAACATGAACAGCAATGCAGTAAAAATCAGATGGTGATCGAGAGTTGAGTACAAAAGATTGTTCATTCTCCAATGTAAGGTTTATCGGTCCATTATGCTGTAATACAAGAAATCTTCCTTTGTTCTTATCCCCTATGACTAATGATTCACAACCTTTCTCATTTATTAGCTTAGCTGGTGATACTAGTTTAGCAAGATAGTCAGTACTGCTAACTTTATCAATGGCATTAAGATTATCAGTTATTGAAATATTAAACCAACTGGGAAATAGACTTGATTTTATTGATGACAAAAAAGAATTTGTGAGTGACTGTCTCTTAACAAACTCACTTAAGTCATCAGGAGTAGGCATATGCTTATAGCATTTACCAGAACCCAGTTCTGTCAGTTTGTTAGCACAATTACTGCACATAGCATCATCATCTTCTAAAGGTAGTGCAATGTTGTTTTCTGATGATATGTTCACACCAGCCAGTGAAAGAGGAACTGTTAGGTTGTCATAAATAATGAAAACTATTCCTCTTGTTGTATCAGAATCCCATGAGCAAGATGAGTTTAACTGCACTGGTATTTGGTCACCACATATTGATGCATGAGTGCTTGAACAACAACTTGGCTGAATATTGTCAGATTTATTAAAATAAAGTGATTCATTAGATCCAGAAACAAAAAGCATATCAACAGGAGAGACACCCTCAAGCTGCAAAATGTATGGACCAGGTTTTAAACCCACCACAGTCACATTCTCAATAGTTTTAGTTTTATTGAGAGTGAAGGTGCAGGTAAAAATAAAAGCTCTTCTTGCACCCCCAAAACTACAATCTCTGAATCTATATGTTGTTTCTTTATCTGGTTTGGATCTAACAGATATCTTTTTATGATCTCCTATCATCACAGGTTCAATAGGATCAATGAGTACTAATGCTCTTTCACATGTCTTTCCTTCATAAAAAATGTCAGTACAATTACACTCAAATCCTTCATCAGAATCAACTCTGGAGCAGACTCCATGATGAAGACAGGGATTAGGCTCACAAGGATCCTTTTCTAAAATTAAAGCAAAAGACTATAACATTGGTGCTTTTTCAACTATTCATGCATTGAACCATTATAGAAGTAAAAATCTAAATTGTTACGTTTGTTTTAATCCTGCTTTAAAACACTCACCTTGACATTTTTCAGTACTACTCCAAATAGTTTCATTATTTGGTAGTAAATCACAAGTCACTGCACTAGTAGTATCATTAGTACTAGCTAATTTATATCCATCAAAACACCTTATAATACATTGTGATTGATACACTCCATCACAAGGTAACTGTAAGTAACCATTACTGGGTGGCATCAATGTAGGACAAGGAAGAGGGGAGCAATAAGGAGGTATTCCTGACCAACGTCCATTTGATTGGCAGGTGCGTGAGGATAAATCACTTAATACATATCCGCTATTACAAGTATAATGACAAGTATTATTAGTCCTGTTACCATTACAATAAAGGTTCCCATTGATCGGTGGTTGTATGACTTCGTGGCATGCTTTTGCTATATTAAAATATGCATTGGTTAGGATTAATGAGAGCAATAGCTTACGTTCACAATTCACGCCATCACTGTCATATTTAAATCCTTCTTTACAAGAACATCTATAGCTACCTAGTGTATTTCGACACACTTGATGATCACTAGAACAGATACTAGTATTCTCACATTCATCAATATCTGATTTATAAGTACATATTCAATAATTGCATACAATGAATCATAATTACCAAAACAGAAATATTTGAATCGTTTTGTATAACCATCATTACAAGAGCAATCGTAGGATCCTTCAGTATTAATGCATAATTGAGAGCAACTACTAGCATTAGTAGCACATTCATCAGTATCTACAAATACATGTCACTCTTCATAATGTACATGTACATGCATATGAAGTCAATCATACCTATACAATATCCTGATTGATTCTTGTGATATCCATTGATACAATCACACCTATAGCCTCCATATGTGTTGAGGCAGTTGCTATTAATAGGGCACAGATTAGGATCCTCACTGCATTCATCAATTTCTATTTAAAGGTCATAATTACGACCAGTATGATAAGCATCTTACCTTCACAATAGGTACCATTAGCAAGTAGCCTGAACCCTGACATACATTCACAATAGTAGCTTCCATTAGTATTAATGCAGCTATGATAACAGTCATCAATATTCATACTACATTCATCAATGTCTATAAGAAAAACATCATCGTGTGATATATTCCATAAAATCCATGCACCAGGTAGTATTTTTAACTAAGCTAGCACACTGCAGCAAGTATGGTTCAATCTGACAGTATAATAGACACTTTTTAGGCTAAACTGAAGTGGATATAATTCCAAATCATTGTCTTGCTGACTTCTTGTAAATATATATTTTATCTCACTATAATGCTTTGTGTACTTCCTTTTATTCATTTTTTGAGTAACCACAACATAAAAGACAATGCAACCACATTACCAAAACAAAATAGCACCACTATCAAATTGTATGTTTAACATCAAAGTTGCAGTGAATAAGCATACACCCATTGTATTACAATAAAACTAACAAAGATTAAAATAGGGCCTGTACATAGATAACCAATCATAAAAAATGAATAATAGTATGACTGATTGATACCTGCTTCACATCTTGAGCCAGTCCATCCAGGATCACACGCACAGATATTGCTTAGAATGCAAATACCTTGAGCACATGATGGCGTACAAAATACTATTAATTTAATCAAGAAGAATTTAAAGTATATTAATTGGCAAAATAATGATAAAGTAAAATCATACCATCTATTATTAGGGATTGATTATATTTAATTCCTCCAATCATTGCTATACAGGTAACATTAACTGACACTCCCAGTAGATCAGGATATATATGTACCAGTAGTGTGTTGTTGTATGTCAGGACATCAATTGATGTATACATTGAGTTATTCTTCATCACTCCATTCACTAACCAGTAAACATCAGTTGAAGGATTAATATCAGTAGTTGTGAGACAATCAATACGATATTGAGTGTTTTTGAGTTGTGTAATGGAGACCAGTGTTGAATTGACCGAAATAATAGCTAGAAATGTTATATATAATAAATCTTACAAGTATACTGAAATAGCAATACCTGGTGAGGTCTGTACACTGATTGTACTAGCAGGTCCCAGTAATTGTTGATAGGCTCTGACTGTGATGTTATAAGCTGTTAGTACACTCAGTCCATTCAGTGTGATTGCATCATTGCTACTTCCCTCCACCTGTACTGTCTGCACAGTGTCTGTGTCACTAGTGACATTGACTACATATCCATCAGCATCAGATGAATCAAGTGCAGTCCAACTGACAGTGATAGTGGTAGCTGTCTTGCTGACCACAGTAAGAGAAGAGGGAGCAGTTGCTGGAACTAAAGTACAGAGAAAAAGAAACATTGCTATAGATGAAGTGCTGGATAGTGTAGTTAAAATTTGTTATAGACAGATCAATAGTCACTGTGAGTACCTTTTATCGTTAAAGTATACGCTCTATTTACTAAGTCAAATCTGCTTCTTTGCCCCTCTGCAACTGCTACTTCACATGTATATACTTGATCTCCAGTGCTTGATTGACTGATTGATCCACTTCCGATAGTCATTCCGTCCCATGTGATATTAACAGTATATCTTTTGGAATGGGGGTGGTAATCATCCTCAATCGCAATACCTGGGCAATCATCATCATATTGACCAAAACATCTAGTGTAGCTAAGAAGTGCAGTATTGCTAAGGTTCATCCTAATATCATAATAACCAGGGAACCCAATTTTAATACAATCCAGTTTGAATTCCTGAGGATATACAGTCATATCAGAAGGAAGATTGGCTGAAAATGATTCTACCTGCCCAAATTCTACAAAATACAACCATTATAATAGATCTTAGTTATGTGACTATAAATCTCTTCTTACTGAATAAATTAACAAAAATGATGTTAGTGTTAGGATCTGAACAGCTAGTGGGTAGACAACACATATACCAGCCATCACCGGACGGCTGAAGAAATAAGACATTACTGGTAGGTATGTGTACACTGAGACTAGCACCTGACCCAACGGTACACAAAAGATTTGAATTGTTGCCAGGACAGGGAACTTCTCCATTAGGACCAATCCATTGTCCACCATTGAGAGTAGCACCAGGTAATGCACATTCAAGAGGATCTGGTCTCATGCTAGTATCCCAAACGTATGACACATTAGAATAGCAGTTCCCTCTATGCCTCAAGTAAATTCCTACATGTACATGGCATAATAAATTATAATTCTTATAAATTCAGCAGTGTTGCTTTATATCAATTGCTTTACCTGAGGAAGGTGGACATGGCTGACTGTAAATACTTTGACTGACACCTAACAAGACGATAACCACCACCAGTGCAGCCATATCTTCTGCTAATTTAAATCAAGTCAAACCCTTCCTTTTATTTAGATCAATAACTTGATTTGGTATAGAGTGTGGTCAGATGAAGAATTTTATAACCATAATAACCATAAATAGATAACTACATGTATGTTCATAGAACTAACTGTACTGACATATAATGTAAACTAAAAAATAATAATTATTCCCTTTGTCTTCTTAAATTGTTCATCTTAGTGATTTTTGTATTTTTTTGAATGGATTGTGTGGATAAGTTAGAGTGACTGATTGAGTAAGTGGTCCTGCCTTGCTACTGTGAAGTTTAAAGTTACAGTATTCCAGAGGTGGATATTTCCTAAAATAATAATAGAGAGCAATGTAACTCAATTGCTATAATGCTAATTGTGAGTAATTTAAAACAGATTCTTATCATAATAAAACTAAATGCATACTGATAGTAGCACAGAAACTAAATTTAAATAGTAATTTTCATGTACGCATTACATAAATCATTTTCATTATGAATGAAATGTCATGCAATGTGTGAATATGTGCATTGGTGTAACTAATTAATGACACTTAGCACTTCTAAAGTGACACATACCTATAAGTGTATCGGGAAATGCTACAGATCGACTGTGCCATGAAATCTATGTCTGTTATTGGCCTCCTGTCAGGCTGAGGGTATCTTGGTATGTGACCAGCATAGCCTGGAATATGCCTTGTGCTATATAATGTACAGATCTATCAATCAAAAAACAATAATCAATATGGCATACTATAATTCTTTCTTAGTTGGTTTTACAGCCTCCTTGATAATTGCATGAGCAGCACTGCAGTTAATAATACAAAATAATAGAATTAAAATGCTTTATTACAAACCTCACTGCCGGCTGTTCTTCCCTAACTGTATCTTGTACATTATTTGATGACGTTAGTTCTTCTTGTTTTTCTTCGTCCTCTTTATTCTCCTCTGGGTCATTTTCAGTCTCACTGTTGCTATCATCTGTCTCATGTTGACAGACTATTGTAGCAATTTCTAGCGGCTTGTGTTCTTCAGTTAGAGTTTCATTGGCAAGTGTATGTTCCCTAGTGATTATACAAGTTGCATCCCTGACAGCTTGTTGTGCAGATGTTGTCCACAGTCTTTGCTTCTGAAGTTCTTCAATTGCATCGTTAAAAGTTATTTCATCTGGATTTGGCGGTTGTACTTTTCTGAATGTGGCGGGTAGCCATCTTCTGATTCTCTGTGGACTGTGTGAGCGAACGATTGGTTTCTCTATGTGGAACCTAAAGTAAAAGCTAGCCGGTTGTTTACAGCCTGGAATGGTAAGTGGGTTGGAAAAGGCATAGTAATCGTTAGTTAGAGTTTCCATCATAGAGGATTTAGTCTGTGCTCTTGATGTGAAGGTCACGCGTACAAACGCGGCAAATCAATTAATTAATGTTCAATCAATTTTAGCGGCCTATTGTTTGTTATTGGTGTTTCCATAGATTATATGGTGTTTCTAAGCATAGTACCTGCTGATATGAGTGATAGCAGTGCCTAGACAAAATGCATACCCCTGCAGCATAATTTATATTGGACAGTCATTTTATTTAAAATAATAAACAAAAGCTATTTTTAAAATTAAGATGCTATCTGAAAATATGTCAAGTTATTGTTCTTTTCAGTTAAGGTAAGTTCACAGCTTGATGTTTCTTGAAGATGACAAACATGGAGATCTGTGCATTGCAAGGGAGATATTTGATTCTGTTGAAATTGAAAGGCACAATTTGCCATGTTGTTATAATCGGCATTGCTCTACATAATATGAAAAATCATTATGCCTTTTACTTGCAATTATAAATAATACTAACTTCCAGATACACTCTTTCATCATCTCTGTCAAACTTCCAGTGGTAGCCATCATTGCTAGTTGAAGTATGAATTATAAAACCACCGTTGCTCGCTTGTGTCAATATCCATTCCCCTATGAACATAGATAATATGTGATCATTTTTTTGATGATAATATATTTTAATGATAACTCACTTTCAGATTGTAGATCCTGGTCTTGATCTGGCAAAAGGGGATACAATCTTGCAAATTCACCATTTCTGTGCCCAAGTATTGTGTCATTCATGATTATTTTAGATTTGAACTGAGGGCCTTCATTTAACTGTATATAAAAGGATGAAGTATCCAAGACTAGCTATGATACTTGAATGAGCTTACATTTGCCATTTTGATTGATTGTTTTCAATCCGGCTCTGTTATAGCTAGAGAATAGTCAAGTTAGATTAGCAATCTGTGCTGTTCAAATCAGGCAAACTTTCTCAGTTTATATAGCCATAGTAAGGGCAACAGCCCACTCATTTGATGTGTCTGTCAGTTAGAAATAATTCCTATTAAGGAAGTGTTAGCTATACTATTACAAATCATGTCGTATATCTGAAGAGTTTGGGGAAATTAATTTACTACTAGTTTTAGTCTATTGCACTTTCAATCTTTCATCATCTTTCTGATGTCAGTACTCGGTGCACTGAAAACATTTCAGCTTAAACACTGTAAAATGCTCCTGCTGTGCAGTATTTTCATGCATTTTAAAGTTTCTGCTGAGTTTAAGCACATATACATGTCTGCATAAACAATGTTAAAGTACATACTGTATCATAATAGATTTGATTAAAGAATTTTTTGACTTTGACCTTGCTCTTTCTGAGGGCAGAATCATCAACTAACCAAATCTAATCCATTTCGTCCCTAATTTTTTCTTCATTTTTCTATTTTCTTCTCTTTCTTGTTTTATCCTTACTTTGTTTCTGATCCTTCTTTTTTCCTTCCTCTTTTAAAGTTTTTGAGAAAAATTTTTATAGGTACAGTACATGGTGTAATAATGTGTATCACTATAAAATGTGTAGCAGTGTATGTCGCTCTAGATTTACATGCCACACCATAGTTTAATTGAAATTGACATTATGTCACATGCAATTGCCGATAACTTCATGCGGGCTTTTCCCTTCACTATATTTTGAAAGCAAATCTACTATCACACTCTTGACAGTTAATCTTTACATTAATTTTACTATGAATTGCCTTTCTGTGTTTGTACACTCAACAATAACACTCTCACAGATCATAGTATGATGTCAGATAACACTTTACTCTAACATTATAGACAGTGTAATTTATGCGTAAATAATGCGCGCAACATGTCACGTATCAACGACGTCATGTTTAGGTAATTATTAAAGGGCGTGGTTACGTTGTTATGGTAACATAATTTGGTCAACAAAAGATTAAGAAGGCACAATGTCGGTGGATACAAAGGAGAGTATATACAAGCTTATACCGCCAGCTATTCCCCCAGCTGAAATGAGAAGGCGTCATAAATCAAAATTTAGTGAGACAGTCAAGCTAGAGACTAAATATTTGAAAGCACAGAATAAAACTATGGTATGTGATAAATAATCCTTTGATCTAAACAAGTGTAATGTATAAAATATCTTAGGGTCCAGCTATTGTAGCAGTTAACAAACCAAGTGAATTTCTCAAGAAGCACACAAAAGAGTCCAGACCTCCATTGAGGCCTTCTCCTGGAAAGAAACAATATGATATTGAGAGAAAGCCCCGTGTTCCAACTCTACAGGAGCAACCTCAGCTAGCTGAAAAGTCAAACAAAGACTTCATAAAAACTAACGCGATTGGTAATATAACAGCCATTCCCAAGAAACCAAAGCCAAAGTACACTGACTCCCCTAGAGGCACAACATACCTGCTTGAAGAATCTGGCCTACTTCCTCAATACGTTCACAAGAAAACTTACGGGAAAGTTCCTGAATACCTTGAAACAAGAAAGAAAGAAATGACAGAGGCACAGCTTGAATATGAAAGGTATACTCAATTTAATGATACATGTATATAGATTATACATTGGATATACTGGTGCATGTTCATAATAGCTTGAGTTAACTGCTGTTGTTTTAATTCAATAGGTATGTACGTGAAAGCTTTGAAAAAGATCAAATGATCCAGCTCTCCGATGAAGAGAGAACTGCAATTTTGGATGGATTGAAAAAGAATTGGGATAAGTTGCACCATGACTATCAAGGGTTGAGCGTTGTGACAGACACACCTGCTAAAAAGGCTAGGAAAGAACGCATAGAAGGAGAAATGAAACAACTTGAAAAGGACATTGAACAAATTGAGAAACATCCAATCATTTATGTAGAGAAAAGACTATGAAGATAACATTATTCATGACAAGTTATTTTTAATTAACTGCACTGCAAATTTAAGTAGGCGTGGTCTAATGAAAGGGCGTGTTTTTAAAGCGCGGGTAAATGGCAGTCACTTGAATCACTTCAAAAAGTCATGGACCAGAAAACTAGACGTATTATCCTAAGATCAGTATCTAAAGGCCAGCAGGTAATACAAAAAAGAGGAGCCTCTCTTTATTTACAAACAGATACTCGAGCCGGTAGAGTTTGAGACACACAATGGACTCCCAGTCAACCGCTGTCAACTGGTATACAATGACAGCATCATTGTTACATGCTCTGATGACAAGACTGTTGGATTCTGGGTCAGTCTTTGACACATAGGCCCCCATTTCAAAAACCTTTATTTATGCAGGAATCAAAAAGTGGGGCATGTCTTCACACCCTGGCTGGTGGTCATACCCATTACATTGTAGATATGGATATAAACGAGACACAGTATCAGTCAGTTCTTTATGCCACATGTTTCGTTAATATTTACTGATAGGTTACTAACAGGCTCCTGGGATAAATCAGCCATACTCTGGGATTATATGACAGGACAACAGACAGTATGTTCATCATCTCCCCCAGGCTCTTTTAGCCTCTCTTATACACACAAGGGAAATGTTCTATCCCTGGTCATCAGTACCATGCCCCTTAATTCATGCAGGCACTAATAGTAATGATGCATATTACACATGCATGAAAGTTTCTGTGCAAGATAAGGCTTTAAGCCTATCCCATGGGGTAATGGAAATTTCTTACTATTTTTTGAGCTGATGGGGTTTGATAATGCCATAATTTTTTGTATCTTTTATGTCAATACTTCTAGTGGTCAGGCTATCATGAATCATTGGTGACAAGTTGTGCCATGCATTCCAATCTGGTAGTAACTGGTTGTGATGATCATCACTTCTATCTTTACGACTCAAGATCTTCTGGTGCTATTGCAGACAGTAAAGACAAGGAAGGTAAAATCAGCATGACATCCAGTATCTGCAGTAGTACATTAACAAAATATATTAGCTTACATGTACATGTACTTAAATACAATGATATTATTCCCTTGACAAAGTGCATTATATTTTACTATAGTATATTGCATCATTTGCATAAACGTGTAATTATTGTAGATCATTTCAAATGTGGTGCAAGGAGTAAGGGTAGAGAAAGAGAGGGAGGGAGGGAGAGCAAATAAAGTTGATAAAAAAAATTCAAGTCAGATATTGTAAACAAACAACAATAATTATAACAAAAATACTTATCTAATGTAATTAAGAGAGTTGACATAATCAAATGAAATGCTCCTGTAATGAGTTAGGAGAGTCTCTCTCTCTCAAGATAAATCATCTTCATCTTCAGCTGCAGCGTCAGCAATAGCGTCCATATAATAAGACTCTAATTCATTCTTCTTATCCTGCCAGCCCATAGCACGATATTCCACGACTTCAAGTGATATGCAACGAATGCGACAGGTGGTCGTCCGAGAAATTATTTTTGTCCTCAAAGCAGAGAAAACGAGTGAGGTCTTCTCAGCGCTTACAGCCTCTAATGTGGCGCCGATACTTTTAAGATTATCACATACGCACTCAATCTCATCGTCTATGACATCATCAAGATTAAGGAGCCACTCCATAGTCGAGAGGATAGCTTTCCCTATCACTGACAGTGGGTTGTCATTGACTCGCACGTAATTAAATATCTCGCACAAAAAAGAGAAAATTGCCAGCCATGATTCTATTGATAATTTTCTAGTTGAGTCCTTTTTTGAATACTCGGATTGAAAACGGCCGAGTAGAGTTTGACGAAATGAGGTTCGTTGGGCTTTTTTGGATTCCGTGTCGGTTGGTACGTGCATTACGATCTTCTGGCAGACTCTGGCACCAAGGGTTGCATGATCACGTGACTCTATTGTGGTGCTAAAGATGAGGTCAACGGTTGAGTTCATGTTCTCTGGGCTACTTGATGCAAACTCGAGCGTCATGTCACTAAACATCTGACCATAATTCGGGAAATTCGACTCGTTAAGTGTGTGCAGGTATTCTGAGAGCTCGATCAATGATCTGACCGGCTTTGGCTTCCTTTCTGAAGGCTGTGTCTCACCAACTTTGAGTCTATTGCCTCCTCTCCCTCTCCCTCTTCCACGTGTAGCCATTTTTAATATGGGCGTGTCACATGTAAACACACCCTCATTTAATTAATTAAAGTAATAATTATTGTTTGCAATTATTAATGGCTTATTGGTTGTAGGACATTTGAACACAGTGACTTGCTGCAGGATATCACGCAATGGATACAGCCTATGCACTTGCTCAATGGATAGAACAGCACTTGTCTGGGACCTCAGGATGGCTAAAAGATTACTTAAACTAACGTGGGCTGAAATAAAATTTTAAATTATTTTTATCTCAAATTTTATTTTTATAGTGGTCATATAAATGTTGTAAAATCATGCAGTTTTTCTAATAACGATCATTACTTGTCTACAGCTTCATGGGACAGATCTGTTCGGTTGTATGACATACATTCCGGATCATATAGGTAAGTACTGGCTAGGAAACTGCGGATTGATATCATAATAATCATGATAATGATATACCTGCCGGGTATATAATTATCATGATTATTATGATATTAATTTGGAGTTTGCTAATTAAGGTTATCAAAGTGGCTACTCAAAGTTTCCTTTCCCATTAAAAGTACTTGTACGTGTATCCTCGAATCCGAGCTTAATGTATTTATCTGACCTGCAATAAAAGTTGAGAGTTTTTATAGCCATTTTTTAATGCTCATTTCTTGATGCACATTTAAACTAGTTATACAGCATAAAATCATGTACCATCAGGAAAAAATATAAAAATTGAGAATTCTCTCCTAGTCATTTTTGGCAAAATTTAGCCAAATTCTTTGTACTATTGTGAAATGACTTTAGCCCGACTTTGGAGTAATTTTAAAAATTTATAAAAAATTCAAACTGGATTGGAATCAGCTCAAAATTTCTATACAACATAGGAATTGCATTAATGTAACTGATGTATGCTACTGCATTGAACTCATTCCTGATTTTTAATAGAAGTAATGGAGAAACAATATTAGATGGACATGAAGGCTCAGTCAGTGGCTGTTGCTTCAGCTCAGATGGTACGATTAATTAATTACATGTTCATTATGATTTGTAATAATTACATATAGATACCATGTTAGCAACTTGTGGATGTGATCAATACGTAATCCTTTGGGATATGACAAATTTTGAATTAATTGGAGCACTTAGAGTAAGTTTATGTGAGAGGGGGAAAAGAGATATAATGTCGACATGTACATGTAGGCATTTGTTGGCATGTTTTGATTCTTTTTTTTCATATTAGGAAGGTACAAATACTTGGCTTCAAGATGTACACTTAAGCAAATGTGATAAAGTTGTTGTTACATGCTCAAAGGTATAGTACTGTATTAGTACATGTATGGAAATGCTTATTCTCTGTATTAGCATGAGTTCATAATGCCTACCATTACATAAACTAATTACTGTACCTATTATAATTAGGAAGGAGTGGTAAGACTGTGGGACACTGAAGCTGCCAACAAACTGTATAGGAAACAAAACTCTGGCCTAAACACAGCTAAGGTAGGTACATGTACTTGATAAGTACACATGTAATTATTATTTACATGTATGAAAACTGTATTATCTATATACATGTACTCATTTAGTGTACTGAATGCGGTTGCATATTTTCTGCGTTGGAGCCCACAAATACACCTCAGCTTTGTGTCTTCTGTCGTTTTCAAAGTAATGCAAAGAAGTCTATCGACCTGCACATGTCACCACTGTTTACTAAAGAGGAGGATGGACCTAATAAAACCACTAGGAAATAGCATGTACATGTATATGTACTTATTTATGTGATGTAATAATATGTAATAATATTATAATACTTGCTGTAATAACATTAATTCAAATTATTCCATACAATTATTATGTAAATTTGTACTGCAGCAGCTGCATCTATAGCAGTGTGGTTAAACTCGTGCACTGCTGTAAGAAGACCATAGCTGACTCTTCGGTGAATTTGTCTTGCAGCAGTGGGGGAAAGGTTTACAGCTTGGACTGGCACATGGTATTAACTTTTCATCACGACCACGTCCCATCTCACTTTGTGAGTACTCAAAAGTTGACTCAAAGTTCTTACGAACCTCTTCAATCTTATCCATGACATCAGCATACTGAGTCGTATCTAGATTGTATATCTCACTTGGATCTTGATGTAAATTATAAAGAAGAGGTGGGTCATGTGAATGTCTTGAATAATTACTACGACAAACAATATCTGGATATATTTTGTCACACACACCTCCACTGGTGTAGTAATGAGCTTTGTACTGCTTCCATCTTATAGCATGATACCCAGTACTGGGATTATAAGAACTAGGAAAATAAACATAGCTCTCTCTATTGCTTGGCTTTGAATCAAAAAGGATTGGAGACATGTCTATCCCATCAATAAAAGCTGGTCCAGATTTAGCTCCTGTAATGGACATGATAGTAGGAAAGAGGTCAACTGTTGCTGCCAATTCTGCTGTCCTTCCTTGACGAATTTTTCCAGGCCACCAGGCAATCCCTGGTTCCCTCATTCCACCATCCCATGTTGAACCTTTCCCACAACGAAGGAGACCTCCATTTCCTCCTTTTGGTGGTGTGTGTTGTGCTGGACCATTGTCTGAAGTAAAGAAGACAAATGTATTATCATCAACTTGAGTATCTTTGAGTGTCGACATAA